CCCAAGCACGCTTAACTGCAGAGTTCTGATGGGATCCGATGCATTAGTACTGGTATGATCGCACCCAACATGCCATGCGCACAAAATCGAATTTAACGCATGCGGGGCGGCATGATCGAAACGCGATGGGCGTGAGCGGGGGAGGTTCTCATTTGTAGAGAAAGGAAGAAAAGAACTGGGAGAAATTGAAAGAAAAAAAGGGGTGCAACACGAGGACTTCCCAAGTGGTCACCCAACTTAGTACTACTCTCGCCCAAGCACGCCTAACTGCGAAATTCTGATGGGATCTGGTGCATTAGTGCTGGTATGATCACACCCGACATGCCATGTGCACAAAATCGGATTTAACGCATGCGGGGTGGCACGATCCAAACGAGATGGGCGTGAGCGGGGGAGGTTCTCATTTGTAGAGAAAGGAAGAAAAAAACTCGGAGAAATTGAAAGAAAAAAAGGGGTGCAACACGAGGACTTCCCAAGTGGTCACCCAACTTAGTACTACTATCGCCCAAGCACGCTTAACTGCGGAGTTCTGATGGGATCCGGTGCATTAGTGCTGGTATGATCGCACCCGACATGCCATGCGCACAAAATCGAATTTAACGCATGCGGGGCGGCATGATCGAAACGCGATGGGCGTGACCGGGGGAGGTTCTCATTTGTAGAGAAAGGAAGAAAAGAACTTGGAGAAATTGAATGAAAAAAAGGGGTGCAACACGAGGACTTCCCAAGTGGTCACCCAACTTAGTACTACTCTCGCCCAAGCACGCTTAACTGCGGAGTTCTGATGGGATCCGGTGCATTAGTGCTGGTATGATCGCACCCGACATGCCCTGCGCACAAAATCGGATTTAACGCATGCGGGGCGGCATGATCGAAACGCGATGGGCGTGAGCGGGGGAGGTTCTCATTTGTAGAGAAAGGAAGAAAAGAACTCGGACAAATTGAAAGAAAAAAAGGGGTGCAACACGAGAACTTCCCAAGTGGTCACCCAACTTAGTACTACTCTCGCCCAATCACGCTTAACTGCGAAATTCTGATGGGATCTGGTGCATTAGTGCTGGTATGNTGGTATGATCACACCCGACATGCCATGTGCACAAAATCGGATTTAACGCATGCGGGGTGGCATGATCGAAACGAGATGGGCGTGAGCGGGGGAGGTTCTCATTTGTAGAGAAAGGAAGAAAAGAACTTGGAGAAATTGAATGAAAAAAAGGGGTGCAACACGAGGACTTCCCAAGTGGTCACCCAACTTAGTACTACTCTCGCCCAAGCACGCCTAACTGCAGAGTTCTGATGGGATCCGATGCATTAGTACTGGTATGATCGCACCCGACATGCCATGCGCACAAAATCGAATTTAACGCATGCGGGGCGGCATGATCGAAACGCGATGGGCGTGAGCGGGGGAGGTTCTCATTTGTAGAGAAAGGAAGAAAAGAACTCGGAGAAATTGAAAGAAAAAAAGGGGTGCAACACGAGGACTTCCCAAAGTGGTCACCCAACTTAGTACTACTCTCGCCCAAGCACGCTTAACTGCGGAGTTCTGATGGGATCCGGTGCATTAGTGCTGGTATGATCGCACCCGACATGCCCTGCGCACAAAATCGGATTTAACGCATGCGGGGCGGCATGATCGAAACGCGATGGGCGTGAGCGGGGGAGGTTCTCATTTGTAGAGAAAGGAAGAAAAGAACTCGGACAAATTGAAAGAAAAAAAGGGGTGCAACACGAGGACTTCCCAAGTGGTCACCCAACTTAGTACTACTCTCGCCCAATCACGCTTAACTGCGAAATTCTGATGGGATTTGGTGCATTAGTGCTGGTATGATCACACCCGACATGCCATGTGCACAAAATCGGATTTAACGCATGCGGGGTGGCATGATCGAAACGAGATGGACATGAGCGGGGGAGGTTCTCNGACAACCCTGACAAGGTATTGTGCCTGCACAAGGCACTCTATGGGCTTCGGCATGCACCACGAGCCTGAAACACGAAGCTCGACAGTACCCTATTATCGCTAAAGTTCAAGCGCTGTGCCTCTGAGCATGACATGTACACGCCCGGCCACGACGAGTAGCGACTAATCGTGAGAGTGTATGATATAAACCAAAAAACATCAATCATACAATATACTTCAATGAAGATGTGAAGAAAAGGTTGTCAAAATTAACAAAAGATGTTTTAATTCATGCCACATTGAAGAAGAATGAAGTTTGATTGTTATAAATTTTGGGTGGGTTACAATTTAGAGTTATTGTATTTTAAGACATTTTATTTACTTTAGGTTACATTTACATAATGGCTAATTATGGCCATAAAGTATGAAGGTTACAACTCTTGGAGTGCCTTTAATAGTTTCATTTTTTAGGCTATATAAAGCCATGTATATTGTATTGGTAAGAGACTTGGAAAATATAGAAAAAGAAGCATTTGTCCTCTTCTTTAGCCAATGGCTAAGTTTCTTTGCAATTCTATGTAGTTTAGGTTGCATGTAGAATCATTCAAGCTCGACATGATTAATCTTGCTTGTGGAGTGATTCGAATCTCAAGCAAGTGTTCTTGCCTTGAGATATTTGATCAACAAGAATCATTCAAGCTAGACATGATCGATTTTGCTTGTGGAGTGATTTGAATTTCAAACAATGTTCTTGCCTTGAGATATTCGATCAACAAGGTAATCCGAATCTTACTCCCCTTGTAGTGGTTCCTTATCTTATCAGTGTACGTCGATGACCTCATAATCACTGGAGGCGACATGGAAGTCCTCGGAAGATTCAAGAGGGAGATGTCAAAGAACTTCAAGATGAGCGATCTTGGCATGCTCAGCTACTACCTCGACATCGAAGTGCAACAGGGTACTACCGACATCACCATCTGCTAAAGTGCATATGCGAAGAAGCTGTTGGACACAACTGGGCTTGTGGACAGTAACCCTATAAAGACTCCAATGGAGGGCTCGACTCCAACTAAGGAAGGCCGGCACTATGACGGCAATTAATGCCACCAATTACCGCAACATTGTCAAAAGTCTGCGCTATCTGATAAACACACGTCCTGACCTTGCTTACTTAGTTGGATACGTAAGTAGATTCATGGAAGAACCTAGGGAGGAGCCTCTTGTGGTTGTCAAGCGCATCCTGCACTATGTGGCTGGAACCAGAGGCTGGGGTGTGAGATACTGCACCAGGAGAGGAAAGGAGAAGCTTGAGCTTGTTGGCTACAGCGATAGTGACATGACCGGTGACGTTGATGATCGTAAGAGCACCAGTGGGGTGATTTACTTCCTCTCAGGCAGTGCGATCTACTAGCAATCAACAAAACAAAAGGTAGTTGCTTTGTGATATGAACCAAGAGACATCAATCATACAATATGCTTCAATGAAGATTTGAAGAAAATATTGTTGAAATTATCAAAAGATATTTCAGTTCATGCCACATTGAAGAGAAATGAAGTTTCATGATTTGAATTTTGGGTGGATTACAATTTAGAGTTATTGTATTTCATTAATGTATTTTAAGACTTTTAATTTACTTTAATAAAGGTCATTTAGTTGATGCCTAGAATTGATTAATTATTTATATATTTTTCAATCTTTCCATTTATTTCTTGATTGTCATTTCCACCCTCCTTGGCCTTTTGACTTTGTTCTCATTTTATTCCTAAAGATCATATTTAGATCTTAAAAAAAACAATATAGAATTTTACTTCTTAATATTGTGTTTATAAATAGTTAGGAAGTGAATTTAGTCATAATCATTTCTTTCTTTTTTTTTAATTCATTTGGCATGTGCAATTCTACTAAAAAATATAATAGTCCCTTATTTGTTTGATTGTTTATTATTTTATTTTTATGTTATTTTACAATTAACTTGTCATGATTGTCCATGCCCAATCCCAATGGACAACCCTTCGATCCGATCTGCCAGACCTTATTGCACGGTTTAGAGAGCACTTGTGTATGTGATGTCAGCCCAGCCTCGAAAATCAAGCTTTGCCCTGCTTATTCACTCGGACAATGCTCCCCCGTAGCGTAGCGATGAAGAAGATGATCATT